GAGGCTCTGCAGCTTACCTGGCTGCTTCTTGCTCTGACTGAGGGCCGCTGGGAGCAGGGGGTGGGGCTTGTTGCCTGTGCCCGCCCCCTGGGCCCTTTACTGCCGGAGCTCCGCTCCCGTGCGCTCCCGCAGGAAATGACCCCTGGCCACCCACACTGAAAAACCCGTGGGGTCGCCATAAGTCGGCTGCGACTCGACGGCACTTCCCACCGTCCCCACGGGGTTGCTCCTCCCTTGAATTCGGAAGCCGAGGTTTCTCCCGCGCTCCAGTCCTCTCCCTGGTCCTTGCAGGTGTGGCGGCGAGCTCGCTTTTTACCAGCGGCAAGTTCGCCATCGACCCCGAGCTGCGGGGGATAGAGTTCGAGCGCATCACGCAGAACCTGGACGTGCACTTCTGGAAGACCTTCTGGAACCTCACCGAGATGGAGCTGCTGGCCGTGAGTAGCCGCGTCCACCCGGGGGGTGGGTGGGGCACGGGCAGTCAGGACGGTCGGGGGAAGGGGATCTCGAGGGGGGCTACCGTCAAGTATTGGGGGTGTTTGGGGAGGGAGAACAGAATGGAGGCGTTGGGCGTGAGCGTAGGAGAGAAGAGGAGCTGGGGTGGAGACAGTGACAGGGGCGGTGTGATGGGTTGCCCACCCCGGGACACGAATGGGGGGCAGTCGAAAGTGAAGTGGTTGCTGTGTGCCCCAGTCCCCAGGGAGGGGGTGGCTCGCTTGCTGACGCCTTGGGGAGGGACCTGTGCCTTAGGTATTCCTTGCAGGGGATGGTGCCCTGGATAGTCACTCTAAAGCAGGGGGTGTCAAATATACGGCCCGTGGGCCGGCCCCGGCCCGTCCAGGGCTCTCATCCAGCTCAGGAGCAACTGCTGCTGTTCTTATCCCATGAAGAAAAGGGGTCGCAGGAGGACAAAAAGGGTCGCTACGCAGAGGCAGGCGATGGCAAAGCACCTCTGTTTGAGCAGGGGGTGGACTAGGTGGCCTCTGCGGACCCTTCCAACCCTGCGATACGGAAAAGCAGAAGAAAGATAAGAAGGAAAGGAGAAACGACAACGCCATTTATACAGCCTCCAAATTTGACTGGTCACATTCATGCAGTTTTCCGCACCGCTTTTCCACCGCATGGAAACGTTCAGTTTTTATAGTCACACCGCCCCAAATTCTCATGACGTTCTCAGTACTTTGAGATCTCTGCAACAGAGTCCGTTTCAGTAGACTTTCGTGGCTGTATTTAGCCCGTCACTTATTTATGGTCTGAGCTCCGGTTTCCAGACTTCGGTGCATGCCCACCTGCCTGTTCTCAGTAAACGTAATAGCTTGATAAGGCCCTTGGTATAAAGGCCGTATAATGAGATTGCTCAATTATATATTTTTTTAAATTACGAAACCTGACCAAGACACAAGATAATGTTCCACTGATGGGCAATTTCTGAGGTTTTTGTGTTGGGACGGGAGAAAGTAAAACGGAGGCGTTCGTCGCAAGGCAGGTCCCGAGAAACGCAGTAGGGTTAGAAGTAGGGGGGAAGTTTGAGTCTGGTGGCAGCTTTAAGACCAATAAAGTTTTATTTGAGCTATAAGCTTTCGTGTGGGTGCACAAGCGTTTTATTCAATGTATATGCTTTCATGTGCGTGCACAAGTGTTTTATTCAATGTATATGCTTTCATGTGCGTGCACAAGTGTTTTATTCAAGGTATAAGCTTTTGTGGGCATGCACAGGTACTTTATTCAAGATAATACACTTTCGTGGGCATGCACAAACGATTTATTCAATGTATATGCTTTCATGTGCATGCACAAGCGTTTTATTCAAGGTATAAGCTTTTGTGGGCATGCACAAGCATTCATTCAAGGTATACACTTTCTTGTGCACGCACAAGCGTTTTATTCAAGGTGTAATCTTTCATGGTCATGCACAAGCATTTCATTCAAGGTGTAAGCTTTCATGGTCATGCACAAGCATTTCATTCAAGATATAAGCTTTTGTGGTCATGCACAAGCGTTTCATTCAAGGTATACGCTTTCTCGTGCACACACAAGCGTTTTATTCAAGGTGTAAGCTTTCGTGCGCATTGCCAAGCTTTTTTACTCAAGGTATACGCTTTTGTGGGCACGCACAAGCATTTCATTCAAGGTATACGCTGTCATGTGCACGCGCAAGCGTTTTATTCAAGGCGTAAGCTCTCGCGGGCATGCGCAGGTTGCACGCCCACGACAGCTGACCCTTTGAATAAAACGTTGTCGGTCTCAAAGGTGCCACTGGGGTCAGTCTTTGTCCCGCTGCTTCCGGCCCACTTGGCCGCCCACCCAGATCTATAGAAGTGGGGAAGTTTGAGAAGCCGTTGCTCCAGCGGGTCACGGGCCGTCTGTGCTCTCCTTGCAGTCTGTGCTCTCCTTGCAGTCCCTGGCCAGCATGACCTCCTCCCAGGTCCAGGTCTCCCGGGCGCTGTCCGTGCCGCCTGACTCCTTCGAGCTGCCGCTGGCCGCTGACCCCAAGCTGTCCGTGACCATCACACCCCCGGTGGCCCACAGCGGACCCGGATCCATCCAGATGAGGCTGATCTCCTACGAGCTGCGGGAGGGACAGGTAAGGGGCAGAGAGCGGCCACATGTGGCCTTGGGCACCTCTGGGGTTGAGTTTTACCTATTTTATTTTCTTGATTTTATCAGACTTCCGAATTGCTGACCCCTGCAGGGCGGGCTGTGGCCGATGTACAACACTGTAGACGTTTAACGATGCAATCGGTATAGAATTAAAATGACTGATTACAACAGAGGATTAAAACCAATCAGATGGCGATGAATAATCCTCTGTCGTCCCCGCAGGGCAGGGGCGGGTACGTGGGGGGCACAGAAGAGAAAAAGGGGGCGCCAGTCTTAACTTCTAGTTGCTGCCCTTGACTAGAAGCCTGGCGGGACATCTCTGCCTCCTGGGCCCTGCGGGATTGCATCAGATCCCACAGGTCCCTGATGTTATTCGGCAGAGAGTCCCACCAGATCGGGGCCATGACCGAAAAGGCCCCGGCCCCGGTCGAGGACTGCTAGACCTGGAGGAGGAGGAGGAGGAGGAGATTGGATTTCTACCCCGCCCTTCACTACCCAAAGGTGTCTCAGAGCGGCTTACAAACTCCTTTCCCTTCCCCTCCCCAAAACAGACACCCTGTGAGGCAGGTGGGGCTGAGAGAACTCTTGACAGAAACGGCTCTTTTTTCAAGGACAGCTCTTATGAGAGCTACGGCTTGCCCAAGGCCATCCAGCCAGGTGCAAGTGGAGGAGTGGGGAATCGAACCCGGTTCTCCCAGATTAGAGTCCGCGCACTTAACCACGACACCAAACTGGCTGGGGATCACCAGCGAATTGTTGTTGTGTGATCTCAGCATTCTTCTGGGGACATATTAGAGGAGACGGTCCCAAAGGTACTTGGGTCCCTGGCCACTCAAGGCCTTGAAACTCATTGCTAGTCATCAGGGCTTTTTTTGTAGAAAAAGTCCAGCAGGAACTCATTAGCATAATAGGCCACACCCAGCAGCAGAAACTCATTAGCACACACACCCCTGACTGCACCACACATTAGCATATTAGGCCACACACCCCTGACTGCACCACCCATTAGCATATTAGGCCACACCCCCGTGCTACCAGAAGTGTGGTCATCCAGCCACACCCACCTTTTGCTTGTTATGCTGTTGACCTTGTTTGTTGTCAAAACCCAGGGCTTTTTTTGGAGCAGGAACTCCTTAGCATGTTAGGCCACACACCCCTAATGTAGCCAGTCCTAATGAGTTCCTGCTGTTGGGTGTGGCCTATTACGCTAATGAGCTCCTGCTGGGCGGGGCCAACTTGGGAGCCAGCCGGAACTCCGTTCCTGTGCGTTCCTGCCCAAAAATAGCCCTTCTAGTCATACAAGTCTTTAGCTTTACAGTCAGAAAAATATAAACGGTGGTTTTAGGCGGTGTGGTTCCCTACGATTAGTTACTTAGAAAATAGTGAGACAGTCCCAAATAACCCATTATATAGAAACTTATTGTTCTTTTAATAGTTCCATAAGCTAAAACCGTTTTTAATGACAGTATATCTTCAAGTATGTGAATTCATAGTAGCTATTTTAATCTTTTAAAGTGGTGTGTCGAAACTGTTTATGTTATTTGACCCCTGTTTCGTTTTGTGACTCTTTCAAGTGCCAAACGTTGTTGTTAAAATTGCTGGGGGGAAAAGGTATAAAAAAGATTAAGAAAAGAAAAAGTCATTGCTAACACCTTAAATGCTTGAGTTATGTTCAGCTCAAAACGGGTGGGGACCGATGCTCCCTCTAAGCTGTGGAGTCTTGTGAGCAAAAATTCTACTTTGTGACCTACTGGCATTAAAGCTGTGAGCGAGCGATTCGGCCACTGTGTAAATTAGTTTGCTCCGGAGCCCTCCTTCCTGAGCTAAGGCAAAAATCTGTGAGCTGGAGGCTAAAAAACTACGCTAGCTCATGCTAACTCAGCTTAGAGGGAACAATGGTGGAGGGACCCCTGCTTTCGGGGCCATCTGTAGAAGCCCACGGTGAGGTTTCCTGGGCTGCATCGGAGCTTGCGGGCAGGATGGGGTAGCCCATTGCTACAGTGGGGTTTGGGGGGGGCTCTGCCCCCTTTCTTAAAGGCACAGCTCCACGAGAATTTCTCCTGTAAATTCTTTTAAAAATCATTTTTAAACATGTTTTTAAAGGCGTGTGGTCCTGTAAGCAGAGTGGGGTGCTGTAGTTGACTGATTCCCGCACTGAGCAAGGGGGTTGGAGTAGGTGACCTCTAGGACCCCTTCTAACTCGGTGTCAAGAAACTGGTCTCCTTTAAGGGAGTTTTTCTGCCCAAGTCTTAGCTTTCTTGACTAGAGAAGTCATCACCCCCACCTGCCGGCTTGTTCTCAGAATTGTTGCTTAGGCTGGCAGGAGTGATTAACTTGCAGCATGCTGAGGACTGTCGTCTAAAGTGGTGGACAGCTTGCAGCTCAGAGATCTATCCTGGCAACAGCTTTCTATTGGCTAAATGGTTAATAGGCTGATTGCTAGCATAAGAACACCTGTGTAGAAGAGACAGCTTGAGAAGACGCAGAGAGAGAAGAATTCTGGCTTTTCTTTCTGCACTGAGACCTTCTGCCCCACCAGGAAAAAAATTTGCCCCACAAGCCACAAAATCGTGGCTACGGGCCAGGGTAAAGAATCTAACCCGGCCTTCTCTCGGTCGTCATCGTTTTTGACATGTGCCGTGTGTTTTTCCACGTACGGCTCCCCACCTGCCAGCAGGGCAGTTCCCACAATGAGATCATATGCCTAGAGAGACCAGAGGGCCCCCGGGGGACTGGTACTGCTGGGAGACGCAGGCAGGCGCCAGCTGGGTCCCTCGGCATCACACTTGGCTGCTTTTCCCCGTCTCCAGGACAGCGAGGAGCTGGCCAGCCTGGTGCGTCCCGAAGGATCCCTGGCCCTGGAGCTGCGTTGGAAGACCAAGCCGCTGCCCCGCTCACCGTTCCTGGTGGTGCACATCCACGGCGGCGGCTTCGTGGCCCAGACCTCCAAGTCGCACGAGCCCTACCTGAAAGCCTGGGCACAGGAGCTGGATGCCCCGATCCTCTCCATCGACTACTCACTGGCGCCCGAAGCCCCCTTCCCCCGGGCCCTGGAGGAGTGCTTCTACGCCTACTGCTGGGCCCTCAAGAACTGCCACCTTCTAGGTGAGAGGCCAAGATTTGAATCCTGGCCCCTCGCTGATGAGAAGGGCTCCTAGTGGCAGCTCCTAATCGAAAGCCTGGTGGAAGAGCTCCATTTTATAGGCCCTGCGGAACTGTAAGAGGTCCCGCAGGGCCCTGATATCCTCCGGGAGCTCACCCCACCAGTGTGGGGCCGCCACTGAGAAGGCCCTGGCTCTGGTGATAGCCAGTCTGACTTCTTTCGAACCAGGGAGAGTCAGGCGGTGTTCTGAGCCTGACCACAGTGCTCTCTGGGGGACATATGGGGAATATCATCAAATGGCCATCTATTTATTGCCCGTGGTTACTGAGATAATTTAAAGGCTTGGGCTCAGACTCAAATTTTGGTATACTCACCAAAGGTAAAGAGATCCACCTGTGTAGGGCAATAAGAACATAAGAGAAGCCCTGGTGGATCAGACCGTCTGGTCCATCCAGTCCATCATCCTATCTCACACAGTGGCCAGTCTGTTCCTCTGGAGGGCCAACAACAGAGCAGAGCGGCCAATGCAGAAGGTCCCAGGTTCAATCCCTGGCATCTCCGGTTAAGAGGACCAGGCAGGAGACCTCTGCCTGAGACCATGGTCTGATTCATCATAAGGCAGTTTTACATGTGTTTGTGTCTATAAGAACCTAAGAAGAGCCCTGCTGGATCAGACCAGTGAGGGTCCATCTAGTCCAGCATCCTGTCTCACACAGTGGGCAACTAGTTCTTCTGGACGGGCAACCACAGGGCAAAGAGACCGAGGCCTTCCCCTGATGTTGCCTCCTGGCTCTGGGATTCAGAGGCTTAGCACCTCTAAATGTAGACCTCAGTAACCATTGATAGATTTATCTTCCATGAATCTATCTAATCCCATATCTAATCCTGTTCACAAAGAACTTCTTATTACATGCCCTGGCCCTTGGAAAGGGAACAAATATTGCTTTTCTCCCGGTTCTAAAACATTTCCTCTTTCGTTATTTACTTCAAGGAGTGCTTGCAAAATGATCCCCCCCCCCATATTTTCTTCATGAAAGCAAGCACAGGGATTCCAGAGCCAGTTTGATGGAGTGGTTAAGAGTGGCTGGGAAATTCCTGGAGATGTAGGAGGGCGGGGTTTGTGGAGGGGAGGGGCCTCAGCAGGGTATAATGGCTTAGAGTCCACCCTCCGAAGCAACCATTTTCTTCAGGGGAACTGATTTTGCTACTGTGGAGATCAATTTTAATTCCAGGAGATCTCCAGGTCCCACCTGGACGTGGGCAGCTCTTAGACCTAGTCCATTTTCATCAGTTTTTGTTTTGTGGATTTCCATGTAGGAGGAGATTGGATTTATACCCCACCCTTCACTACCCGAAGGAGTCTCAGAGCGGTTTACAATCCCCTTTCCCTTCCCGTCCCCACAACAGACACTCTGGGAGGTGGGTGGGGCTGAGAGAGATCTGACAGAAACTGTTCCTTTTCAAGAACAGCTGTGCCAGAACTATGGCTTGCCCAAGGTCATCCAGGAGGTACAAGTGGAGGAGTGGGGAATCAAACCTGGTTCTCCCAGATTAGAGTCCGTGCACTTAACACCACGCCAAAGTAGTTAATTCTAGTATAATGGGGGGGGGCTTTGAATTCTGATTTTTTTTTTTTTTAAGGCTTGAGGAAACTAGGGGGGTGGGGAAAACTTGGGAAATTATTATTTTTTCTTACAGAAAGTGCAAAACTTCCTCTCTCCCTTTTTATTCCAGATACTTATCCCTGAAGCTTTGCTGTGATAGATTTCATAATTAGCAATTAAAACATTACATACAAATTAAAACATTAAAGTGCAGCATAAGTAAGGATTAGTTTGCTTTTAATTCATTTTCTAAGCATTCTCCCTCCAAAGGCTGCGATTGGATGAACCCTATCAAAAATAATTATATTAGTCCCACATTTAGCCATTTAAAACTGCAAATTATTTTTAATTACAAGAAAATTCTCTCTTTAGCGAATGGGCGACTTCTACTCTTCACGTAGGTCACTCCCCTACCCAAATACTGCCCTCCCCAGAGTCCTTCGGGAACTTCCCAACCCAGAGGTGGCAGCCCAAATCCCCTCCCTTTAAACAGTTGAGACAGCATCAATGGGTTCTGCACAGCTAGTTGAATAAATTTCCCTCATTTTAAAAGAAATTTCCCTATCAAAAAGATCTCAGCTTGGAGAGGAAGCTACCCAGAGTGAAAGCCAGTATCTGTTCTGATTTTTAATCTAGCAGAGACTCTCCAAGATCACATCTGTGAAAGGAAAAGATTAAACTGTTGAGCTGGACTGTAATTGGTTCTAACGCTGGGGTCAGTAGCCTAGAAATTTAACCACCATAATAACAAGGCATTTTCCCCCTCCTGTGGTTGAGGTCTATTTTTGTTTTAGTGGCACCACAGTAGAAAACAACCTATAAGATACACATGGATAACGACGCTATTGTTTTAAAGCTGACCTTAAAAAAGAAAGAAATTCTCTTTTACCCAGTTTGGTTCTGGTAGATAAAGAATTTTTCTTAAACCGAGTTCTGTGTATTCTTGCTCTGATTATGCAGGTTTTAACAGTAGAAGAGATCCTGCTTCGTGTGTGTGTGGGGAAAGGATTTTTTCCATCCTTTGTTGATTTCTGTCTATGAGAGCCAGCAGAGATAAATGGAAACCCCTGTATTTTGTAAAATGCAAAGTTAAGTGGATCTTAGGATAGCAGAATTCTCTTTAGTTCAGCAGATGAACAGGGTAATCAAGAATTGTTTAAAGGGAGGGGATTAGGGTTGGGAAGTTCCCGAAGGACTCTGGGGAGGGCAGTATTTGGGTAGGGGAGTGACCTCAGTGGGTTATAATTAGGGTTGCGAGCTCTGGGTAAGGAAATGCCTGGAAGATTTGGGGGTGGAGCCTGGAGAGGGTGGAGTTTGGGGAGGGAGAGGGACAGCAACAGAGTACAATGCTGCGGAGTCCACCCTCCAAAGCAGCATTTTCTCCATGGGAACCAATCTCTGTTGCCTGAAGACCAGGGGTTATTTCCTGTGGAGCGCACAGGAGCGGAGCTCCGGCAGTAAAGAGCCCAGGGGCGGGCACATGCAACAAGCTCCACCCCCTGCTCCCAGCAGCCCTCAGTCAGAGCAAGAAGCAGCTAGGTAAGTTGCAGAGCCCCCTGCCCCAAAACAGTCCAGTGGCACCTTTAAGACCAAGCTTTATTCAGGTACAAGCTCTCCCTCCTCTGCGAGGACAGATCTGCATGTCCCCGTCCCCCCCAATAGCTAGCAGTCCAAAACAGTTCAGTGGAGCCTGAGCAGTGGGTGTTGCCTTCTGACAAACTTCCAGTGATGTGGCATATGCAAATAAGTTATGCTAATGAGCTCTTGCACCTCTTTTTCTATGAAATGACCCCTGCTGAAGACCAAGTGTAATAG